ATACATAGTCTATGCATATAGACTGCACATTGTCCATACATAGTCTATACATTGTCTATACATAGTCTGCACATAGTCCGTACATTGCCTATACATAGTCTGGACATAGTCTATACATAGTCTGCACATAGTCTGTACACAGGCTATGTAGTCTAAGGACTATGCATAGAATGCACATAATCTATACATAGTCTGCACATAGTCTGTACACAGGCTATGTAGTCTAAGGACTATACATAGAATGCACATAATCAATAAGTCTGTACATAGTCTGTACATTGACTATGTGTCTACACATAGTCTATACATAGTCTATACAGATAGTCTATACATAGTTTGTACACAGTGCATACATAGTGTACGCAGTCTGTACATAGTCTGTACATTGACTATGCATAGTCTAAGGACTATACATAAAATGCACATATTCGATAAGTGTCTACACATAGTCTATACCTAGTCTATACATAGTCTATACACAGTCTGTGCATAGTCTGTGCATAGTCTGTGCATAGTCTATACACAGTCTGTGCATAGTCTGTGCATAGTCTGTGCATAGTCTATACATAGTCTCTACATAGTATGTACATAGTCTATAGGACTCTATACATAGTNCTACATAGTATGTACATAGTCTATAGGACTCTATACATAGTATGTACATAGTCTATACATAGTATGTACATAGTCTATACATAGTATACATAGTCTATACTGAGTTTAAGGACTATATATAGTCTATACATAGTATACATAGTCTATACAGAGTTTAAGGACTATACATAGAATGCACTTAGTCTATAAGTAGTCTATACAAGTATAGACTGCGCAGAATGCACTTATTCTATAACTGGTCTATACAAGTATAGACTGCACATAGACCAAGTGCAGACATGCACCCGTAGATTACGCATACACTATGTCTAGATAATGTATACCCTATAGACTATGACTAAAGTGTGCAGCCATGTACCTGTAGACTATGCATAGACTATGTATAGACAATGTTTACCCTATCGACTATGACTAAAGTACCGTAGACTATCTATGGAGTTCATACTATTTGTACACTATTTGTAGAACCCGTGGGCCACCAATAAACTACTGCGAGGAATGAGCCCTCATGGGCGGCCCTTATCAGACATACAAGTGTTCTGAGCCACGGCCCCTAGCAAGGCTGTGCCCGCCCTAAGTGAAGGCGGGCCTGAATATCCACAAGAGGCCTGTTTTCGTCATTTGTCCATCTGTGGGGATTCAGACAGTTGCAGCACGCCAGTCGGTTACAGAGCAACGTGAGCCTCCAGGCTCTTTCCAGAAGCAAGGGCTGCGCTGTACAGTTGAACCCAGGGCTCAGGTGGTTGCGCCCTGGGCACACACTGTTTGAGGCCGACACATCACGGACTGGCTGCAGGCCAAAGAGAGAGCAGCATGGCCGTCACACAGGACTCGAGAGCCAATGAGAATGCTGCGGACACTTGGAAGTTGCGTGGCTGCCCGAACATGCCTAACTGCAAGGGGCCCAGGCCAATATCGGAAACTGGGCCTCGGCGCAGACACTCGGGGCCAGAGGCAAGCTACTGCGCTCCCCCCCCCCCCCCCAGGCCAGCCAGTAGCAGACACTTTCCATAAA